TTAAATTATGAACTGGCACAACATTGACTATACCAATTTAAATGATTATTAAGTAAAGTATTATTACTATGTATTATTAAATAATACATAGAGTGAATAAAATAAATAAAGAATTAAATATGAAAAAAAAAAATCATTCCTGGTCAAAAGCAGATGCATAGATGTTTTCTGAAGCTATTTACTGTGACGGCTGGGCCTGCTTGTTTGAACAGAGCAGCTGTAGTCTTGGCTTTATGTTAGAAACGGCCACATGGAGATCCCTCTCAACTCTGAGGAGTCGTGATCTGTTTTTGTTTTTCACATTATGTCAAAAAGAAAACGTCTATTGGCACAAATATGTGGACTCAAATGGAAAAAGTAGATTAGTTGCAGCTTTTGACTGGGCTGTGTACTCTGTTGCTACTGACAACCAGAACCTTACAGGGTTGATGTGGAGAAAGCAACTTGTAATGGTGGATCAGAGGAGCGATCGAGCAGGCCATCCTGCAGCTCTAATGACAGGAGATGCGCAGTGAAGGAGGTGAAAGGCTGGTGTATCCAATCGTAATTTTCCGCTGTGTCATATTTCAGGAAATACTTACTGAAACTTTCAAGGATGCTCCTGAGGTGATAAGCAAATAGCCTCAGCCAACCACTACAGCTTTCTCTTAGATGCTGTGACCTTTTCAGAAAGAATAAGCACAGTTTTGTTTGAACATTGTAGGGACAAGTTTAAGCTGTTTAGTTTGTAAAAGATGTTGGCTAAATACACAAGGCTCCCAACCAACATTAGGTCTGTCAGACAGTCAGCAAGGGAAATACTAATATGCAGAAATCCTCACACAGTTCAAAGAGCCTTGTTAAAGGCTTACCATGAGGTAGCAACCTGACCTCTGTATGAAAGAGAAGTGCCTTATGGTCTGATCCCATTTCATGACAGTGTGGCAAGAGGTCTGCTTTGCTGGAATTCACTGAAATTAACTATCTTAACAGATGTTTGAAGAACATCACAAAGCTCTGGCTTGAGCAACCAGTGCAGAAATTTTACATGGGGGGCTACTTCCAGAGTGCAGGCCCTCAAATCTTTTCCACCCCCCTGCATGATCTGGTTGAACTGTAAAGTGCCTTGAGATGACATGTGTTGTGAATTTGGCGCTATATAAATCAACTGAATTGAATTGAATAGCTATAGCTCCATCTGTGCACATGGATATACAACCCTTCCATGTCACTTTTTTTCTTTGCCAACCCCCCACTCCAAAAACATGTTGCTTTGCTGACCAGAATCTTTCACGCACGATCAGAGTCTCATATATATATGTTGATACAATGAATTTTGAAAAAAAAAAGATGCAGCAGTAAACCAATCTCTGTTTTAAATTATTTAAGTACACAAATTTTTAAGTTGAATTTTTGTCACTGCGAGGGTTGTCTTTGAAAACCAGAATGTTTACATTTTGGACAAAGAAGAGTGTGAAAGAAGCTATTTATGTTAGGAGAGAAAAAACAACCTTAAACAGAGGGGGTGGTCTCAGGTTTC